GAGGTGGAGGTGAAGGTGGAGGATGTGGCTGCTGCCACTGTTGTTGCCACTGTTGTTGCCACTCTTGTTGTTGCCTCAGTGTTTCTGCCATTTCCTGAATCAACCTTTCCATTCTATCTATTCTGGCAGTAGAGGACTCTTCTATCTCATCACCTCTGGTTCTCACCATCTGATTAAACTTACATTATACTTTACACAAAAGATTCACAAGTATGCATTTACTAAAGAGCATACATATTTAAATAATTTGCAATGCAAGCAAATCACAAACTTATGGCACATAATTGTTCATATCAAAACACTTAAGCATATTCTTGATGCTTCCAAATTCATACTTAACACATGAATGCATCCTAGATCTTTTCCAGACGCTTATTGCTCTTTTGGACAAGTGTGTGAGTTATTAACTCGTGCTTTGATACCACTCTGTCATGACCCGAACCCACCCCCATGGGTTAAGGGCATAACTGGCCAGTAATCGAGGGATTACCTACGGCCTCAAACTAAATCAGACATAACTCAACAGAGTAGAGGGGCCAAACGGAAGCAAAATTTAAAATTTTGTCCATAGAGTTGTGCTTACATGGCACATCATAACAGACTATACATGTACATATTAATAACTCACATCAAAATACAGTGACATAAAGTTCTGTATAGACAGGATCATTCAAGTCTAAGTCAGCCTATCAAAACTATAGACAAACGGTTCCAAAGTCCTCACCAACATAACAAAATACAATAAGATAACAAAAGGGTGAAGACGAGTCTCGTGCGTGAGACGTAAGGCTGACTCTTCAAAACCTTGGTTGTCCCACACAAACTTCACTGAGGCTGGGTTTGGACCGCTCTTGGCTCACCTACAAACACATGAATGAGCGTGAGCGAAAGCCCAGTGAATAATATCAAATAAAGAAGATGCATTAGGGCAATAAACATCGGACGACCTTGGGCCCAATTCATATTTCTATTTAATACATACATATATATATATATATATATGTACATAGGTTAAACAGTTGTAGTTCCAAACACATCGGACGGCCTCGGGCCCAATCCATTCATGTTAGACTGGCCTTTGGCCCATTCATTCTTTCATGTCAAACTGGCCTTTGGCCCAACCAATCTTTCATTTAGATCAAACTGGACTTTGGCCCATTCATTCATTCCTTCTTGTCAAACTGGCCTTCGGCCCATTCATTCATTCATGTCCAACTGGCCTTTGGTCCATTCATTCTATCGTTCAAATCATGCTGGCCTCTGGCCCATTCATTCATTTATGTCAGACTGGCCTTCGGCCCATTCATTCATTCATTCGTATCAAACTGGCCTTTGGCCCATTCATACTTTTATTCAAATCATACTGGCCTCTGGCCCATTCATTCATTCATTCGTGTCAAACTAGCCTTTGGCCCATTCATACTTTCATGTCAAACTGGCCTTTGGCCCATTCATACTTTCATGTCAAACTGGCTTTTGGCCCATTCATACTTTCATGTCAAACTGGCCTTTGGCCCATTCATTTGGCATAGCAAACATTGTCCACCAATCAAATTAACAAACCTATAAACTTACATAGAAGTAAGCGATTGGACAACAACATATTTCAGATATCTTTGTCAAGATATTACTCACAGTGATCGGTTGGTTGGTTTGCCCTAGAGCTTGACCCTACACATCACATAACACATACGGGTCATAAATGATTCAATCTGTTACTTAATTCACATATTCCTCTCTAGGCTTTATTCTTATCCCTTTAACTCATTTACAATGCTCAATGCATGCCTAAGAGTACTTAGAAGTGAAAGAGAACGAAAAACGAAACACAAAATGCACTTTCAAAATTTTCAGAAACAGGATCCTCGCTCGAGCGTAGACTTCCCCGCTCGAGCGGACCCATGAGGCCTTCAAAAGTACTGATTATGTCAATTTTACGCTCGAGCTCGAAGTCTGGCGCTCGAGCGGAAGTCCTTACTACATGGCTCCCTGCTCAAGCGTAAACTTTCCTGCTTGAGCGGACATCCATGTCTGCAAAAATATTGGGGACACGAATTTCCCACTCCAGCGGCAATTCCCCCGCTCCAGCGGACATCATAAATTTTGGGCTTTCTAGAATGGTTCTTGAGCTCAAATTCATCATTCCAACCAACATTTCTTGCATATTATGGCTCAAACTTCATATATACATGTACTCACATGGTACAAACACCAAATTACAACACAATGAAGCTCAATTTCACAAGTTAATCACATGCATGTCCCAATTTGCATCAAACTCATTTCCAACATAACAAACTCATACATTCAAACTCATGTTCTCATAAATTGTGCATGCATGTGAGATATCTCAATATTCTCAATTTAGTTGGTGAAGAGATGGTAAAAAACAACATGAGCTTCAACTAAAAACTTACATGGATCATACATTTTGTGCTCAAACATGCAATTTCAAAGCAATTACATACATGCATGCATACATTGACGTTCAATTCAACATGATCAACTCAATTTCATTTCAATTCTTACTCTTAATTACCCAACTAGCTTGAATACACAATTTACAAACTTACACTTTTGAATTCATGCTCACATGCTTACTTAGAGGTTCAATTCTTCCAATCTATAGTAAATTCTTGAGTAATCTTCAAGATTTCCAAGCTGCTTGAGCAAACCCTTAATTCCCTACACTCTCTCCCTCTAATTCGGCTCTCTCTCACACTCAAGAGCCCAAAATCAGCCAAAATGAATCAAAAGGAGAGAGATTGAGTGTATATGGCCCTTTATATAGTCCCACTAAGTCAATTTAACAATATTAAATAATTGAGCACTTAATTAATCGTTTTAAATTTAATTATTTTGATTCGAATCAATTTTCAATTAAATTTCACCGTAGGCTCTAAAAATTACGCTAATCACAATGGCGTAATTAATTTCGAGTTTTGTGGCCGATAAGGCCTTCAATTTAAATTCCAAAGCAGATAATCAAATAGATATTCCTACGGTGAACAGATAGAAATTCAAAACCACATATTTTCACATAAATGGCATACAGAATCATATCAAACACATAATCACATTCATAATAAGGACCAATTAGCATAATATAGCGCGTGACCTACACAAACACATAGCAGATACACATTGAAACAAACGCTCAGAATGTAGTTAACTAATCACGCTTCATTCTTAGTGTGTTTCTAAGTCTTATCCTCATTATGATGTCATAACCATGGCCTAGGAATGCCTAAGATGCAATGTGGATGCCAAAATGCATTTTGAAACACTTAACAAAATTTGCTGAAAACAGGGCCTTCGCTCGAGCGAGGGCTCAAAAATGTGAGTGGTCGCTCAAGCATAACTTCAGTTGCTCGAGCGGTCTATAAACTCTACAAAAGTACTGGTTGCTTGATTTTTTCGCTCGACACACGCTCGACGGTTACTCCAGCGTGAGACGCAAGTCTTCGCTCGAGCGTAACTATTGTCACTCGAGCGGTCTATAAAACCTGTAAACTTCTAGGAGAATGCATTTTACGCTCGAGCTAACTTATGGTCGCTTGAGCAAGAGTGCAAAATACAAAGTGGTCGCTCGAGCGCAGGTTCTGTCACTTGAGCGGAGAGCAGAATTTTGGAATTTTCAAATTGCACTCCCAAGTTCAAAACTCGAATTCAAAGCTTCAAAATGCAACCTTTGGGCCCCAAAACTTGAGAAAACATTTATAAACTTGCAAAACACGGAGAATTAAAGATCATTTCATGAAATCAAGGCCCATAAGCATGCAAATTGTACAAACTCAAGCTTGAAATGTGCAAACATAACATGTATATGACATGCACGAAATGATTTGAGCTCCAAGTTTCCAAATCATGAGCAAATGAGATGTTTAGGTCAAAAACATGTTGAATTCTTTGAACAAAACCAAGATATGGGCATGCATGTGGAAATTCTTGAGAATCAACTTACAAATCTTAGTGAATTATGCATACAATACATGAATCATGCTCCAATTCCTTAATCTAAGCTCAATTCTCAAATTAAAACACTTAAACCTCTCAAGTTCAACCACCTATGTCTTGAATACAAAGTTGAGGGCATGATTCTTACCTAGAGTTCCCAAGTCTCTTGAATTCTAGCAAATTCTTGCTCAACTCCACAAATTGTCCTTCAATCTTACCAACTCCCCTTTTCTTCTTCTTGAGTTCACTCTCTCCCTCTAACTCTGACTCTCCCTCACGTTTTGTTGTCTCAAGGGAATAAAATGAGAGCGTAAAATTTATACTAGAATCCACTCATGCCTTATATAGGCTCAATTAAGTTGACTTAATTAATCTTGGCTTAGGTTAATCACATTGACATTAATTATCCTAATTAATTCGTTTCGAATCGAATTTTAATTAAACCTACCATGAAATTCTAAAAATTCCACACAATACATATACCAAGTTAATTTTGTAATCGGATGCTGATAAGGCCTACAATTTGTAAAATATTACAGAATCTCAAACAGATATTTCTACGATAGACAAATAAAAATACAAATAATGTAACACACATACGCTTAATTCAGAATTTCATTTTAATTACTTATCAGTTATACTTAATCATGCTTAATCATGGTTTAACAGTTAATCATATATCGGGTTGTTTTACACTATTTCTTTTCCTATTCCATTCATCAATCTTCACTGGTCGTCTACTTCATTTTCTCAACTCTCGTCGTTGGTTCCAAAACGCTAACCGTACCTTCGATCTTCTCCAATCCCTCCACAAGCCATATGTTCGAATCCAGACCCAACACTCCCCTAAACTGTTTCAAAACCTTTGTCTACAAAGGACTACTACCGGACTCGTCAAAACGGCAATCTCAAACGGGCTGATTGCAATGAGAATGATCAGTCGGCGAGGCACATTAATGTGTCAGAAACGAAATCAAAAGATGGACAGTTCATCTTTGCCCTAATTTTTCTCTCCATTTCTGTTCAAATGTAAGTATGATATAATGTGGGTTTCTTGGGTTACTAGTATTGGTCTTAACTGTGCTCTTTATTTGTTTGTTTAATTGACTGAATGGTGTGTTTGTTTAATTGGGTTTGTTTTGATTGGTTTGGTTTTTAAGGGATTTGATTTTCTTGGACTGAACTATTACACCGCTAATTATGCAGCATATGCACCAAACTCCAATAGTGTAAATGTCAGTTTTTTAACAGATTCTCAGGTTAACCTTACAAGTAAGTTCAAAGTTTTGTACCATTAATTAAAAACGTTATTATAACTTAATATGTGCTAACTAGACATGATTCTTTTGTAATGCTAGCTAAGCGGAATGGGGTTCCTATTGGTGCTATGGTAAGAAGTAGAAATTTAAGCAATTCTTCTTGTGGAGCTTGTTTAAATTTAATATATTTACCAACTTGCACATGAATAGAAAATTTTCATAATCAACTCTCTAACTTTATGTGATCTTACAGGCTGCTTCAACTTGGCTTTTTGTTTATCCAAGAGGCATTTATGATATTCTTCTCTACGTGAAGAAAAAATATAACAATCCTCTTATTTATATCACGGAGAATGGTAATTAGTTCATTAATAATTTTGCATTAACATAAAATTGTTTCACTTAGTAACATATAAATCTAATAAATTTGTAATTACAAATTAAGTTTACAATAAACATTCTTAGCCCATTCATTTCAGGGATTGATGAGGCAAATAATGCTACATTATCACTTGAAGAAGCCCTTGCCGACAACATGAGGATACATTACTATTATCACCATCTTTCTTTCCTTTTACAAGCAATCAAGTAAGTTCTGAAGATGACTAATAAGTAATGTTGCATTTACAAAATATATGAGTGCGAAGGTTACACTACTAGCAATTATTAAAAAAAAAAAAATTATTACATATGAAGTTTGTTGTTGATTTTGTTTTTCATATAGGGATGGTGCTAATGTGAAAGGATATTTTGCATGGTCACTTTTGGATAATTTTGAATGGAGCTCGGGTTACACAGTTCGTTTTGGCATCAACTACGTAGATTACAAAAATGGTTTGAAAAGATATTCCAAACTTTCAGCCAAATGGTTCAAGAATCTTCTCAAAAATGGAGGCATATGATTGAAAATGTAATTCTCCAATAATTTTGCATCCTACAAATGTAATAGAAATTTTTTTTTTTTTTTTTGATCAGCAAAGAAAATCTTTATTGATGAAATCATACAACGTATGGAAAGGTACATCAATAAAGAGTAGCACAAGTTGGTGAGGGACCAACAAACACACGAACAAGAGGAGAAGAGAGAGGAGAAACACAACAGAACAACAACAGAAGCAAAAAACAGATACATCTCAAAACAGATTGAGTACATCAACAGAATGCAGATTCTGAGATCTGAAACATCACCACAATGCAGCCCAACTTTCCCTCTGCTGGGGCACCCAGACGACAAAGACTGAAGGAGAAGCACTGCCTTCACAGACCATAGCCAAGCAGGCCTCTGAACTGCCTTGACAGATCAGAAGCTGGATCCTCCCACTCTGCCGCCAAGCTGCAAACATACCCCCCTGGCTCCGGAAAGAGACCCAACAACTGGTTACACACTCCAGCATACACGGATTGGCTGGCCAGCAACTACAGAAGGGCAACATTCCAATCACACACACCACAGAAGCACCAACAAACCAGCAGCAGAGCCCTAACTACAAGAAGTCACCTGATTCAGATTTGCCACTACGTCATGCACTGAGTACTGAAACCTGGGCAGCCCAGACTTGGCCCACAGCCCCACCCTAACTTTCACTATTTCACCAAGCGCTTCCATATTAGGCTGACTTCCTTTAAAAACACACTCATTTCTTAACCTCCATACTGACCATAACATTGCAATTGGGACAAGTCTCCAAATCCTCTCAACTGACTTCTTGAATTTTGTACCCATCCACCATAACAGCACACTTGGATATCTCCCATATGACCCAGGATACTCCCCACCATTGAAGCAGAGATGACCAAACCTTCCAAATTTCCGTGCATTGCAGGAACAAATGATCCACGGACTCTGGCTCCAGCTTGCAGAAGAGGCACAGATTCTCCACATCTCTGCTTAGGGCCCTAAACCTCTGTAAAAGACTAATGGTTTTAACCCTTCCCCTCCATGCCAACCAGCTGAAAAATTGAGCTTTTGGAGGGGCCACACCTCTCCATAACAGATTAGGAACCTGCAATTTTGGGCCTTGAGTCTCCTCATACCATTTCCTCATTGAAGCCACTGTGAAATTACCTGAGGGAGATGCAGTCCACTTGACTGAGTCTGGCAGCTCCTCATTTATTCTGGGAGCAGCTCCTGTCAAGTCTTGCAGCCTTTGAACCTCCTCTTCCTCCCACGCGAGGAGCGATCTTGTAAACAAAAGCCTCCAATTTCCTGAGATATCCCTCCTCTGCATGAAAGAGCTCAGGTTCCCGTCTTTGTCGTCAGATAATCTAAACAACCTTGGGAACTCTACCTTCAGTTGAACATTCGACTGCCACCTATCATGCCAAAAGAGAATCCTACAACCATTTCCTATCACAAGCTTGCAATTAGACGTAAAAAAATCAAAGCGCTCAGCATTCTCTCTTAACACACTCAGAATATCACTCCAAACAAGAGATTCTTTGCCAGTCCCTTCCATCACTGGTAACCATCTACCACCAACTCCCCCATACTTGTTCAAAATTACTTTCTTCCACAGAGATTCATCTTCCACCCCATATCTCCACCACCACTTAGTTAGCAAAAAGACATTAAAGTCCCTCACCCTTCTAATGCCTAACCCTCCATGCTCTTTACTAAGGGTTACTACCTTCCAGTTTACCAAATGAATCTTCCTCCGGATTTCTGAGCTGCCCCATAAAAATGTTGCCCTCCACTTATCAATTTCCTTAGCTACCCCTTTAGGTAATTTGAATAGGGATAGGTAGTAACTAGGCAGACTATCAAGGACAGATTTGATCAGGGTTAGACGACCAGCAAACGAAAGCGTCCTTCTCTTCCATAAGGCTAATTTAGCTTTTACCTTCTCCACCACGGGACGCCAAGTCTTCTTCCTTCTTGGGTTAGCACCAAGGGGTAAGCCCAGGTACAGAAGAGGGAGCTTCTTACTGAGACAATACAGTTTAGAGGCAAAAGCTTGAGCCAACTCTCCACTAATCCCAACTCCGCACACCACACTTTTGTGGAAATTTATTTTAAGGCCTGACATAACCTCAAAGCATCTGAGAATCCTCTTAATATTTACTATTTCCTCCCACTCAGCGTCGCAAAAAAGAATGGTGTCATCGGCGAATTGGAGATGGGACAGATTCAAGTTTCCTGACCCAATAGAAGCTCCCTTAATTAAGCCCAAAGCTTTAGCCCTTTCCATCAAAACGTTGAGACCCTCAGCCGCAATGTTGAACAAAAAGGGGGAGAGAGGATCACCTTGCCTTAACCCCTTTTGTGGACTGAACTCTTCTGTTGGTGACCCATTCACAAGAATTGAAATTCTGGCCGTGGTGACACAAGTTTTCATCCACTCCAGCCATCTCTCCCCAAACCCGAGATTGGCCATCATAGAAAAAAGGTAACCCCAGTTAACCGAATCATAAGCTTTTTGAAAATCAAGTTTAAAAATGACACCCTTCTCTTTAGACTTCTTCCACCAATCCACCACCTCATTGGCAATCATAACCCCATCGAAGATATTCCTCCCCCCCAAAAAGGCAGTCTGCACTACTCCAATTACATCTGGAAGCACCCTTTTCAATCTTTTAGAGAGAACCTTAGCCAAGATTTTATACACTACACCCACCAAACTAATTGGTCTAAAATCTGATAAACCCGAGGGACTAGAAATCTTAGGAACTAAGGTGATAAAAGAGCTATTTAGCCCCGAAACCAGCTTACAGTGCTGGTGGAACTCCTGCATAAACTGGAATAAATCACTTTTCATAATCTTCCAGCATTTCTGTATACACATCATGTTGAATCCATCCGGCCCCGGAGCTTTATTCCCATTACAGTCTTTTACAGCCTCCCACACTTCTTCCAAAGTGAACTCAGGATCAAGAGACTCCCCCACCTTCGCACTATTGAGCCGCCCAAAACTACCAGACAATTTAGGGCGAGATGGCCAATCTTCCGAAAATGCCTTTGAAAAGAACCTCAGCACTTCCAGTTTTACCAGAGCTGGGTCTTCCACACGAACCCCCTCCACAACCACTGAGTCCACTAAGTTCCTATTCTGCCTTTGGCTAGCCATAATATGAAAAAACCTGGTGTTCCGATCACCATTCTGAGCCCAATTTACTCTAGATTTTTGGAACCATATCCAATCCAACTTCTTTCTAAATGACCACACCAAGTTTTTGACCTCCCTTCTTCTAGCAACTTCATGGGAACCTAATGTCCCCATTTCTGCCAACAGATCAAGCTCATGCAGCTCAGCTTCAGCTTTTTTTAGTTGGTCCTCCACACAACCAAACACATCAGAATTCCACCGTTTCAACTCGGCTTTGAGACTACCCAATTTCACCTTTGTTCTGTATCCAGCCCACCCTTGAACCTGCGAATCCAACCAGGACTTTTGCACAACAGACAAGAAGCTAGGATGCAGGGTCCATGCATTCAGGAACCTAAACGGCTTAGGGCCCCAGTTTTTCTCTTCTTCCGTAAGCAATAGAGGACAGTGGTCGGACACCAGTCTAGGTAGGCCCCATAACTTCAAACTAAAGTTTTGTACCCATAGTGGGTCCAACAAAAACCTATCAATTCTACTCCACCTCTCCCCGTCCACAGAATTACACCATGTAAACTTCCTACCCAACATTGGTAAATCCATCAATTCCAGTAGATCAACAAAATTATTAAAATCCTGCATCCCTTTGGAACTTCTAGTGCATCCTCTTCTTTCATCTGGAACTCTTATCTCATTATAATCACCTCCCACGCACCAAGGCTTTTGGAAAGAGGATCTTACATTGAGGATAGCATCCCACAGCTTAGCTCTTTGAACCACTTCATTTGGTGCATAAATATTTAAGAAAACACACTCAAATGAATTAAACAGAGTACCTGAAAGGAGCAAAAAATTTCTGTTGCTGCAACACTCTGATAAGGAGAATACTTCAGGGTTCCAAATACTCAAGAGCCCTCCAGCACTCCCATCCGAATCTGCAGCCATAAACTCCAGCTTCTCCCAAGGCCAAATAGATCGCACAAATGGGACATCAATATCTCTGCTCTTTGTTTCTTGAAGGAGTAGGACATCTACTCTTTTTTCTTTAATTAGCTGCTTCACTCTACGGCGTTTTTCCAGCCTCCCCAACCCTCTAACATTCCAAGACATGATCTTCATTGGAATCTAGCTTTTACCCCGCTAAACACCCCCAGTCCGCAGCCCATTAGGTCTGACCCACCTGACCCCCTTTTGCGATTTTGTCAAACCGGTCTGCATCTTGTAGCTCTAGCTCAACAATCTTATGTACCACTTCATTCTCCCTCCCTTCACAGTTCATTCCCAGTCGTTTGCCAAGCTGCAAAGTGGCGTGAGCTTCCTCGATAGCCCGCTTCCTTCTCCTACTCGATCGGCTGGTCTGGGACTGAGAGTGAGAGAGGACTGCAACCGCTGCCCTGAGTAACGCACCCCGCTGAAAACTACCTGAAAGTGCAGCAACATTTCTGGGAACTCTTCTCCTTCCCCTTCCTCTCGTACCTCCTTCCTTGCCTTCCTGGAGACGATGGATGTTAACTGGAGCCACTGGTTCTCTGCCCACGGTAGTAGTATTGAACCTGACAGGCTCGTGGGCTTGAGATAGACACAGAGTCTGCTCTCGGGACTGGGCCAATCCGTTTGGAGAATGGGGAGCCTCTTTGATAATAAGCGGACAGCCAGGCCCATCAACAGGACCTCCTACTTGGGCCCCTTCTAAAACTACCTCAATATTAATACTGGGTCTACTCCCCTCCGACCCAGTCAGACTTTTAACAAACCCTGAAGTGAGTAACGGAGGCCCACCCGCAGCCACCCTGCTGTCAACACTTACAATTCTTGGTAGCTTTTTTCGCATGCTAACCTCCTCTGCAGAACAGCTGTTATCCTTCCTCACGTTCTCCACCACCTGTTCCACTAGGCCTTCGT